CAAAACACATGAGACTTTCATAGAAAAGATATTATGCAACATACAGGGTGGGAAAAAAAAAACCAGTCCTCTTCTTTGTGACCTTATATTGAAAAAAAAAAGCAAGAAAAAAAAAAGGTAACCTGACTACACGGAACTTCAATCAATTCTCTGTGTCGTGCTATAAAGTTTTTTTCAAGATATTTCAAGAGAAAGCATAAAAATCAGCACTTGAAAAAAATTTGTCAAGCAGAAAAATCATTTTCCACGTGCATTTCCTTGCGTCACCTGGTGGAGTCACGAGCTGGCTGCCAACCTCATCGGGCGCCATTCAGTTACCTCACAATCCTATGACATTTCCCCCTGCCCCCTTTTTTCTCGTTAGACCAGTTTCAGTTCCTTCCTCCCTTCATCAAATGCTTAAAATTCCTGTTCTTCATCCTTCTTTCCATTTTTCATTCTTTTGATCAATCAGCAATGAGCATGCTAGCTTTGCCCTTTGGCCTTGAGCAACTTCTTGGCTGATGGCGTGATTGGCAGCTGCTCACTCATGGTCACCAATGCTTGTCTGCATTTCTTTACCTTTTTTGTGTTTACTGTGACTTTATTCATATTCTTGACTTGATAAATTCATTATAACTTTGTTATTTTTTGCCCATCCAGAATGGTTTTAACCAATAGTGACAAGTGCATTATCCAAGCGCTTCCAAGACAAAATAATGAAAAATGGAAAGAAGAATGAAGAACAAGAATTTTGAGCATTTGATGAGGGGAGGAGGGAACTGAAACCAGTCTAATGAGAAAATAGGGGGGGAGGGGGAAATGTCATAGGAATGTGAGGTAACTAAAGGGTGCCCCAGCGAGGTCGGCAGCCGGCTCATGACTCCACCAGGTGACGCAAGGAAATGCACGTGGAAAAACGATTTTTCTGCTTGACAAATTTTTTTCAAGTGCTGATTTTTATGCTTTCTCTTGAAATATCTTGAAAAAAACTTCATAGCACAACACAGAGAATTGATTGAAGTTCTGTGTAGTCAGGTTTAAATTTTTTTTCTTGCATTTTTTTTTTAATATTAGGTCACAAAGAAGAGGACCTTTTTTTTTTTTACCCACCCTGTATTTCATACTGAATACTGGTACTGGTAATTCTCATACAAGAAAGTAGTGCAATTCCTCAAGTCCTAGCAATATTTTACTTAAGAGATCAAGTTACAGGGTTTTAGTTTTTATTTGCTTCCATTGTCAAGCAGTCTTTATAAGTTGATTTCATTATGCAATAAGAATCCATCCTGAACCATCTTGTACACATATAATATACACTCTTCGCTTTTGAAGACTGGAACTTGTCAACCTCACCCAGCTCTGTGACCCCAAGTCTTTTAAATAGCAAAGAAATAAGAAAGAATCATGGAGAGATATCTCAGGCATTACTTCCTGTCTGACCTGTCATGTTTTGCTTGGCTGGGTGACAAAAGTTGCTCCAACATGTCTTGAGCTATCCAGAGCTGAGTAAATTAGTCAATGCTGAGCCATTTCTAACAACCTCTCCCCACTTTCTCAACAGAATCATTAGAATAGTTAACTAGTGAGCAAGTGCATATCCAAGTCAAGCAGCTTGTGCAGTCAACTACTTGAAACAGTGAGGATAGTACATGATAGTAATAACAAGACAAATTGTTGGCCAGATGCTGAAGCTGGATGGTAAACTGATGGAGCAGGTGAACAGTCAAGTAACACTTGTGGTAAGGGATGAGATATGAGAAACTGGTAATCATTCAACAGTCAATAGACCATTTCCAAAAAGAAAGAATACATCAGTAGATGTAGCACCAACACTTCTGGGCAAAGTGCACTCTGGTTGTTATAGACAATGATTATGGCAGATCCTATCAGGGATCTAGAAAAAAATACAAGCAGCAGTTTGAAGAAATTGCAAATGATATAGTTCCTTGAATTTGTTTGATAAAAGAATGGGGCCAATAGGGCAAGGAGAGTTACAGAATATAATGGATTCCACTTTATCAGGACACCTTGGTTCTGGGTCAATTAGCCCCAATATAGTGGCTGCCCTGATAATGCTAACTTACCTTCCATCACCTAATCGATTCCACTTCTGAGAAAATGCCCCTATAAACCAACTGCTCCCATAAACCAATGGCTCAATAAAGTGGAATCCACTACTATGACTTTTTTCGTTCTTGTTCTCTTTGCTAATTTGCAAGATTTTACCAAACAGCACCTTACTCATGGATACCTTTTCTACAACCAACTATACTGAACCAATTATACAGTGGACATTTTTACAATTGGACTATTCATGATTAGACCTTTTGTTGCAGACCCAAATGATATATCTAAGTACTGTCAACCCTCAATATATCACCACTCTCACTTATTGGCAACTTTTTCCTGAGAACAAATCTTCCCTAGATGTTTAACATCGGTGCTCCCCCATTATAGGGCCACTCTCGCAAGCTGCCATCTGCCAACGCATTAACTTGTACAAACTTGTCTTATTCTATGTAAGTCTTACTTGATATTACGCCAAGCAGCACACTATGCTGGCCACACTCATCGTACCTTGTACAGAATTTAATGCTGCCAGCTGCTCCTTTTGGTCACATCATAGCAAGATTGTGAGGGATGACTCAGCGATAGAATGGACTTCCAGTCTTTAGAGGGGGGCATATAGGGTTGCCTAATATGGCCTAATCCTGTCTCTTCCTTTTTGAGAATGGAAATATCTCATACAGATAATACACATCTCCTCCAGACAATATTTCAAGTTTGTTCTATCCAGAGATGGAAAAATAACGGTTTCAAGTGTGAAGAAAAAATTGGAAGCATTTCGTTAGAAGAAGGCACATGTAATCGAAAGTCAACAAAACTTAGCAAACAATTTATTGGGGATTTTGGGACTGGGACAATAAAGTGAGCAGATGGTGCATAGGAGCTATTTTCATTGAAAATAGGAAATAATTGGATTTCATCATGAATGGAATCATTTTTCAAAGCCATATAGTTTGTGTGTTCTGAGATGTGGACCATTGGTAGGGTAGGTGAATTATAGTGGATTTTTAGCACATTTTATATAGGTTACTTTTTTTTATTTTACAGCCATGCATTTCGATTTAGCGTCAAAATCAAAATACCAAAAGTGGAGGTATATTGAGAGTTGACTGTATGTGCTAATGCATGCCAGCATCCACATTGAGACACAGGTGTTCAATATCCAACTCATCTTTAATTTAAATTCTTCAAACTCTGGAGGGAATTTGTAAAGTACAATGCTTTCTGGGACAAGCCTTTCAAAAACCTGTGTCTCACTCCTTGTGGATACTGACTTGTGTCAGTACATAGTAGGAATTTAGCTCATTAGTTTGTTGGTTCATCAATAATCCAAAAGTAAGGCAGTCAAGCCAATTGTTCATGACCCACTATTTTTTGTCAGAAAACTGACTCAGATTTCTTGGCCAGCTAAAAATGAATGAAATGGGCACAATATGATTGAGTAGTGAATTGATCTAGAAAACATAAAGCTTTACTGAGGGATTTAAGAAGGCAGGGATTAGAGCGCCCTGAGTGACAGGGTTTCTCTATTTTTTTTATAACCTCTTCAGACCCTGATGACAAAGTTGCATGCCAATTTTGAAATCCTTTGGCTCATTGCCTAAGCTCCACTTCCAATGGTCAAAGCAAAAAACCCCAGCATGTTTATCCTTCTTGGTATTGGAGGAATAGAATGGACATGTTTTCCATACATGACATGTGTTTTCCTTCATTGAGGTGCACCATTGACAACATGCATTTCTTTTACCATAAAAGAAGCTTATGGAAGCTAGTCATCAAGGATAGTATTAAAAAATGTTTCTAGGACTTGTCACTGTCATTGTACCAACAATAGTAGCAATTAGGCTGGATGGTATTTCGGAACAGAAACACCATGGTACCCCACACTCCCCACCACGCTTGCTAGGGAGTGGTCATTAACCCCCTGGGTCCCCCATACTGTGGTTCTCACTTATCCAAAAACCTGGTATGTGAACAGCATCACAAGAAATGGTTTCTTTGGGTGGTGACTGAACCGGGAGGCATTGCCTACAAATATGTACCTGAAACAATCATGAGTGGTGGTTTGTCCCCCCCTCCCCCCTCATGAGATCCACCACAGTCCATATCTTCATCTCCTTTCTGGTCTTTCTCTTCAATTTCACCAGCCTGATGCTGGAAGGGCTCCAACACATGTATGGTACATCAATGCCACTGCATTCAAACGGAAGGAGTTCTGTGCATTTGGATCCCGAAATGCAAATTTGCTGGTGCAATGCTTCATGGCATGTGTACATCCCATCTATGATTTGACCTATCCCATAAGAGCTCTATGATAAGTCAGATATCCCTTTATTTATAAATAGTTTCTCACACTATTTGGCAATGCAGTTCAACATGTATCATAATTTTAGGGCCAATAATGAGCAATCAACAATGGCTTTTATGATTGCAGATGACACAGGTGGCCATATTCAAAGAAGTGCCAAGTTCACAAGCTCTTGCTGTGATGCAAACTGAATCCAATGAGGTGCATGCATTTTTTTCAGGAACTCTCTTTTTACCTCTTCTATGGCTTACAAAAGTGTGATCCATGACATAAAAGCAATTTCAACAGGGATTTCAATGTGTTAATGCTTGGCCATTGCAGTACATGCCATGGGGTCTGAAGAGGTTAAACATACATGTCAATTATTTATTATAAAAATTCTCCTGAAATGGAAACATGATATAGAAAAAAACTTGCATCAGAAGATTACACTCTCCAAATCCAAACAAAAACCATGAAAGTTTTACATATGCAACATTTTCCTAGATTACATTACAGATTATAGGATTACAAGTTATGTTTCTGGTAAACTGTGGTGTGAATTCTCAAAAGGATCAAGTACCTGGGGCTTTGTATGAAGATGAATGATGGAGTTCCTCTCATCCATTCGACTGCTGATGATGTTTTGTAAGAAATTTCTGACGTGCTTCAAGGAGGAGCCGTTTCTTGCGTTCCTGCAACAATGTTTCTCTCTCAACAGAATCTTTGGAGAATCTATCACCAGGGCTGGAATCCATTGGATCCTCAGCTGGCCTTGCCCTTGAAAGCAACAGAAACATTAAAAAGTCAACATAGGAAAAATGGACAAGAACAATAATTTCAGAATTAGATGGAAGATGGAATGAGAAGGGAATCTCTGGGATGAAAAAGATGAGAAGAGTGTGAATGTACCTGTAGACAGCTGAAAATTTCTCAAGAGGGGAAGAAGATACTCGGGATAAATTCATTCGTGGACGCCTTCTAAAGGATCCATGTGAGGAGCTCAATGGTTCCAGATCGTATGGTGCCGGATGTGGCACCTCTCCCAAGGAGCTCTCCTCTCTTCGCTCCAAGATGCTCTCAACAGCTTCCTCCACAGACCATGTAGCCATGAGTTCTTCTCTTATTTCATCACTCGACATGTCAGGGAACAACTGTAATACCTGGAGATACCAAACTCAAAAGTAGCACCTGGTGGATTTCTTCCTTGAACCTTGATTTACCATTCAAAGAACAAATTTCCAAATCATCACCAAATGAGAAAAAAACAAACACATTCATTACAACACAGTCCTGTTGTGTGATGAGCAAAATAATTTACTACATCCTGTCCATTCTCTTATATCAATGGTAGATTTAAATAAAACTTTCTCTGCAAGGGTGAGAGCAACCAGGGCCAGAAAATGACAAGATGGCTTTTTACAGCAGTAGCCTACTTCAAAAGGAGGCTCAAGTGAGTCTCCATAAAAGAAAGTAAGTCTAAGTAACAAGACTTGAGTCTTGTTACTATGCCAATGGAATTCATTTTGAAATGACATAAACACTGCAAATACCCCAAAACAGTCCTTAAATGAACCAGTTTTGGGCAGTCCCATTATGGTATAAAAATAGGCATCCCAAGTCTTTTGTTTTTGTTATGATACAGACAAACATAATATTTTGGTACACTGAGTGTCAAACTTAAAGCACATCTCACTTATTCTCTCTTATTGTCCAAAAGTAGTTTTACCTATCAAATTAAACATTTTTAAGTTGGCAACATATAATTAGGTCAAGTCACAAATGCTTCAATTGTGCCTGATGTAATAGGCAATGTGCACCTGATAAACAAGACCTAAAAAGAGATGGTGGTGGTGGCAGGGACATGAAAGGTGAAGAAGAGAGAGCATTGGGTGCTTCGGATTAGCAAGATTCAGAAAGAGCAGGGGGTCACTCACAAGGTTTCCAAGAATTCCAATACAACCCACTAAAATTCCCCCTCAAGGTGGTAGAAAAAATGTAGTTATTGAGAGAAATTAAACATTCCAGATAATCTTTAGAATTTGTATTTAAAAAAAAGGTATGTGTGAATTTACTGGTGTGAAGGGCACTATCCAAAACATTCATAAATCAAAGAAACTTTTCTGGTCCATGCATCCAAATAAAATTATATTATTGACAAATTGCATTTGAAGGAAAGATTTAAAGGCAATACTATGTTAAAGAAAAATGTATGCACTATTCTCTTTTTTCCAGGAGCTACAGCTTTCTTTCCAACAAAATGGGTCTGGCCCTATATGAAAGAGTAAGTAATATGGGTCAGAACCGCCCAGCAAATTTCACCTGTATCACCATCACCCCACTGATGGACAAAATTCAAGAAGACAAAGCCTACGCACAAAGCCCAGAAGCATCCAGGAACTGCAGTGACACATTATGGATGCATGCAGTGCCCTACCTATGGACACATGCAGAAAAAGCATGTCAGTGTCATCTGATGTGCCAATGTCTGCACGATTGAAGGTGGTGCACACTTTGAACAGCTGATGGCTGAATAAACTGTGTGGTCTGACCTGTGTTTTTGATCACAGATCATTCTTTCTTTGCAACAATTATAATGTGAAAAATAAACCACACGTTTACACTAACACACGGTGATATTCTCATTGGTATACACAGTAGAGCAACCAAACCTTGTGCCATACAAGACCAGTCCTTAGCCTTTCATATGGGGTCAGACCCATATTGTTGGGAAGAAAGCTGTAGCCCTGGAAAGGAGAGAATAGAGCATACATTTTTGTTTTTTCGTATATATAAAATTTTCTGTAAAGCTTCCCATGAAAAAACAAGCATAACTACAACTGCTATTCGATTCCATATTAGTTCTAGGAAGTTAGAGAAAAGAGGTTCCACTGACTCACATGAGAGACCATAGCATCAATTTCAGGCACAGAGTGGCTTCCAGCAAGATGCCTTGGACTCTCCTCCATAATTGTGGATATCCATGGAAACAAATTCCTCCTCCAGCCTAGAAAGCAAGCAGCTTGGATTGCAATCAGACAGCATATGAAACCTATGATTTTGCCCTTCCTCCCTCCTTTTAGACACATCAGGATAATAATGACCAAAGGAATTAGAACTTGATTTGTGCAACTTTATGCAGTATGGATTTCATTTATATATAAAATAGAAAGCATTTAAGATTGCATTTATATAAAAGAGATGCAACAATGCATTTGCAAAAAAATAGATGCTACCGTGCTTTGGAATCAAGCCATTCTGTACAAAAGAAAAGCAACTCAGTGGATACCTAGATTTCTCACTTACATCATGAAGGTTTTATGGTATGAGTCTCTCCATGATGTTGTATGTGACATCCAGAGTAAAATATTTGATACATAAGTATCTCTAACAACATGATCAATCATTCCAACATTCACCCTTGGGCAGTGACTGAAAAGTCCATCACACTTTCTTTTGATGAAGCTGTCTCTGAATATGAAGAAAAAGTGTTGGATGTGACATTTCATGAAACCCCAAAACAAGTCATTTGCTGTGTGATCAAATTTCTATGTCAGACTGTCAACATCACATAAGTTCCATCTAAAAGGTGAATAAATAAAAATTAAATTAGCATGTCACCCATTGTTTTGAATGTTAGGAAAAATAAGCAAGGTTAATATGGGAAATTGTCAGGTGTGACATACTCTGCAAATTTATTTGAAAATGAAAAGTTTGCATATTTATTTAAGAGTTCAGCTCAAATCATCACATGATTAGATTCAGCCTCAGCCTGTTCATCAGAACAGACATGTGAAGACATTATTGATTCAACATTATGCAAGATAGCATTTACTTGGGCTTTGTATCACTAATTTCATTAACATAGGTTTTCCCTATGAATTTCAACAAAATTTAGTTCAAATTCAGCAGTGGCCATCTCAATTTCGGCAGTACTCCTCTCTCCTTCCGGTTATCCCATTCAATTTTGCAGGTGACTTTCAATTTCAGCAGCGCTAGGAAATATCTTGTTTCTGGTAATTAACATGGGAATGAGGAATAGGGAAGGAAAGGGCACAAACGCATAGGGTATTTTCGGAAAATGATCATTTTATTATGCAAAGGAAAACACATGGACATTGACACTGATTCTATCTATCAATATGTTCTCTTCTATTGGCATCTGACCAAATATGTTAGTCCATGGCAAAACCATGCAATGCACATCTATATTTATCTACCTGTATTTGCCCAACTGATGCCTCTCCTATTTTGAGCAGTTTCTCCATTTGACTTTACTGCAAATTTTGTTCCAGTCTTCATTGTGCAAGTTCTATCAGTGTTTCAGGAAGATACACCTCATGTTTGACAGCCACTTTAAATGCAGAGTGGGCATGTTCTATCAGATTCAAGAAAGGAGAAAATGTCAGCTGAAACTTCACATGAACGTTGGAAAGTCACCTGGGACGAAGGCTCATTTGTGGAGTCTAGCATTATCTGCAATGACAAAAACTGGTTGATTGATGGCAATATCGTGTGTACATGTCTCAGGAATTCCTCAAAGAATTCCTAGAATGTCAACAATGTGACATGTTCCTGCTGTTCTTTTGCAGTAAACGATTATTCCAAAGATGGAAGCAAACATGAACGCATCCGATGTGGAGGACTCACAGAAAGGAGCAGCCAATTTTGAATATTCAGTTCCAATTTGTCTTCTTAGATTATGCTAGACCCTACAAACAAGCCTTGGTTCCAGATGACTTTCCTAACGTTTACTGGAAGTTTCTGCCAGCATATTTGCTTCCTCTTGAATCCAACAGAACATGCCCAAATCACCCATCTCAAATGCTTTGCATGGTTTCGCCATGCACAAACATACTTGATCAGATGCCTAAGGAGAGAACTTATTGGTGGATAGAATCAGTGTCAATGTCCATGTGTTTTCCTCTGCATAATAAAATGATTATTTGCCAACAAAAAAAAACCACCATGTTTGTGCCCTTTCCTGCCCTATTCCTCAGACTCATTTATTCCCAAAAGAAGAGATTCCCTTGCACAGTTGAAAATTGAAATGGCGAATGCCGAAATTGAAAGTTAATTGCCGAATTTGAATGGACTTTTGCCAAAATTCATTGGGAAAACCTATATTTTAAAGAAACCACCTATGCATTGGATGGCCAGCTGAAATCTCATATAATATTCTATCTGTAGCCATGTGAAGTTGGGAACTTTTGTGAGACAACTGATATATTTTGTAAGAGTTAAAACAAAAAATTCTCAACCATGTATACAGGCTGAGAGAAGACAGGTGCCTATATGTAAGTACCCCTAAGGGGGGGGGGGAGGGGGTAGGTGAGAGAGTTCACAAAATTACAAGATTATAGATGAAATACCATATTAAATATTGACAGAAAAGTTATAGGATGTCACACTCAACATGTGCATGAAAATTTAATGATTCACTTAGAGTTAGAAAAAAATTTTTTTGCCATGGCACCAAATGAGCAAATGTGCTGTCTGCATCAGCCTGCCCTACTGTACTTGGTTATAAGGTGAGTCTAATCATGCATTAAGGATGCAACCATGTTTTCTTCACTGACACACTTGCTCATTTGACAAAGTGCTAAAGAAAAAACCCTCACTCGGATTCTAAAAGACCATTAATTCAAATTTAAGTATAAGTGGTATCAAAGTTCCAGAGAACTCACATGGGCTCCTAAGCTTTGGGGGACCAGTCAATCAGATCCATATCAAGAACTTGGCTCCCCAAATCATGAAGTTTTATTTTATTATATCCAGTAAACAGAATGAGCATTACTTCCCTTTCCTGCAGCACTATTTAACGCTGATTCTGTGTACATTATTATCCTGATCTGCCACACAGGAGAACCAGTTTCATTGACAGCAATAGATGCTAAGCTGTCAGTTCAAAATTTTAATTCTTACTTGTCAGTGATGTATGTGAGGTCTCTTGCAATGGTAGATCTTTCTTTATATCCAAAGTGTATCTACATGTTGGGCAAGAAAGATCCTGCAGTAACCAAGACAGTAAACAGGACCTGGGAAAAATATAAATCCTTCAATATAGCAAACACCTAAAGACAGAGGGGAGAGACATTGGCAAGCATCATACGTATGAAAAAGGTGACCACATGGGAGTTGTCGACCAAGTTCCATCACGTCCCAGCATACTGCACATTCCACTGCATCCAGCGTATCATTGGGAATCAAAGAATAACTGGAAAAGATGACAATAACATCTTACATAGGTGTAAAAGATATGTTCACAGCCTCATTCTAAGGGGGAGTCATAAAGCAGGTGGCCTCCTCCCCCTTCACAAAAGGCAACAGTCCATTACATCCTCAGAATAAAACTTGACTGAATATATAGATACTGACTACAGATATCCAATGTTCATATCCATGACAGGAGGACATTTCACCAACTTGTGCCAAATCCTATCCACTGTGCAAGTTACTTTTTAAGACTTTTCAGTGATTGTCACATGCAGATGTTTAATTAAAAAGTCATACAACTGCAGGGAGGAGAAGAGGCATTGAATCAACTAGCCTGAATGTGTTAATCAGCAATTGAAAATTGATGATTCTTGATCACTCACTTTTTAGAGACATGATGACAGATGTGTCTATATTTACGATGCTGATGAAGAAGCCTTTTGACTTCATGAAAGAGATAGCGCAACTGCATACAAATGACTAGAGAGGCCATCGACAGGAACATGTTGCTGAGAACCAACATATGCACATGATGCAGGAGGTCTATTCCCAGGGCAAGGAGCTCAAAGGTCAGCTCAACCCAATAGATGAAAGCACCTCCACGACTTTCAAGCACACCTCGGGAATGACTCACTTCATACAGGTGAATCACATACTGACTTATCACATGACATGTCCTCACCAACAGCAAGAGGCTCTGGAATCAGCAACATACAAAAAACCCCTTCTTTTACAAACATCACTTCAGATTTTGCACAATAACACTGACTGCTTATGTGATTCACCTCAGCAGCCATGAAGGCAAATGCATGGACTCCACCATGGTTTCGGACAAAGATACACACACCAAGCAGACACAGACTTGCAGCTAGGGTGATGAAGAGCAGGCACAAGAGTCTCAGATGCATTCTTCTTGGAGTTGTAAAGAAAAAAGATAACTGAAAGAGAATATAAAAAACATGTCAGCTCCTGATCCCTATCCCAGAAAATACACCATGGTATTATTTCTAGAAATGACAATTCATCAGTGTAATCAAAATTAATGGGAATTATCAGATTGCAATGACTCCTGAATAGTTGACACAAAAAAGTGACATTTTTGTTCAATATGGAAGGCTCAAGGCTTGGGTTATTACATAAAGAGGCATTTCTGCCTAAACTGAAATCCCAAATTTAGATTGAGCACTTAGTTAACAAAGCCTACTCCTCAAATAAGGTTAATATTTTTGGTTGGAGCAATTAAATCTACTAAATACTTACTTTCAATGACATTGCTCTTCTTTTTTTTATTTAGTCCATGAGGACATCAAGCCTTTTTTTAAGTGGGAGAAGCATCATTACCTGATGTGTTCTTTTCTTAAAAACTTTTCCCCCTAGAACCTTCCTCTTTCTCTCTCCCATTCAGTAGAGTGCACATTCATTATTTTGCTACTGCACATTTGCAAATGAAATAAAAGCTTTCCCTCAATAAAACTTATATACTTGCAGGCCAAAATTCTAGTCATAACTGACACCATTTGCTGACAATTTTTTTTTACAACTACTCAAACCATACCTGATGTTGCTTAAATTGGTCAGGTGACTAGGAAAAACTTCTGACCAAAAGTTGTACTCTGCATTCTGTAAAAGTCTGTATTCACTCCTCTTATTCCTGTGTAAGACATCTCTAAAGAGTGGCAAGGTGCCAACATAAAATCAACTTTGAAGATGGTAGCTGAATTCAAGAGGGTAGTTACATAAGGCCCTAGTGACTAGGGAGCATACTTTGTAACAATGGGTAAGAGATCTAAATGCATTCACAGGGGACATATAATCATCTAAACCTAAGTTCTTTAACAGTTGGGTATCTGAATATATTCCCAACACATGGCACCTGTCAAACTGGATTTATCTGATGAAAGTATGAATTTTATGCTTCATTGGCATTTACCTGATAAAAAAAATAAGACAAATGCTCTTATATGCTCACATGAATAAGGTAGCAGCAAAATTTTCTAGTACTTCTTGGGTACTATATGGACTTAGTTTCTGAGGACAAGTTTCCTGAAGATATAGCAAGTGACCCAAAAAAAATTGTTTCCAACCTTGTTCCAACTATTTATCCATATGTAAGCCCAAGAAGGTGCAATAACCCATAACAACACAAGTGTACTAAAGACAATCAACTTCCAAACCAGATTTCATGAGTACCTACTACAATGAGTGGTTAACTTCTAAACAAGGGCTTCTGTCAACCAAAGCATGATGAGAACTGAACCTGAAGTCAAACTACAAGAACAATAAAGCAGTTCTGAAACAGCCCACTAGTGAACAAGGGGGAATCATAAATTTAATAAACTAAATCCTTTTTCCACTCACATATTCCAAGCGATCTTTTGATAATTGGGCCAGAAGAAGGAGGAATCCAAGAACAGAGAACCATGAGCACCACAGGACAACTTCATCCATATGCTGAACATTGATGACCCCAAACATGAATATGAACTTGTAGAAGACAAAGTTCCAAAATTTTTCCTTCAGCTGCTGTTGTTCAGATACTCTGAGTTCTCCAAATACCATCAACTGGATACAGTGCCCCAATAAAATCAACAAGCAATATGCCATGTTGATCAATGTCTGTAAAAGAATAGAAATATGCAATTATGAGCCTATCACCAGCACAAAAACTGAGTAACAGTGCAACATAAGATAAATATGACATAAACCTTGGTCTAACTTTCTATTACACATAATATAATAGCCCAACAGTATTGGAGGATCACTTGAGAGCATTTATAGGTCTGACATACTGTATTATCAAACCAGGGACTCACCCAGATACATCTTGGCTCCAGGATCATGAAGCTTAGCACTTCCTTCAGGGAATATTCCAAAAGGTGAATGTCAGATAGATTTTTCATAAATCCAACCATCTCCAAATCACTGTTGACAGCTTTGGCAAGAGGCCATGGGTGACTGAGGGATTGACGCCATTCAGGGTTCTTAGATGTTACATCAGCAGCATAGTAGAGGGAACATCCAAATAGAGCAACACTGATTGCAGTATAAATATGGAGACTTGGGAGAGGTAATCTATCCAGCCAAATCACAGCCATCTTCCTTAAGAATCAGAACAATTCACCACAACAATCAGAAAATGAAGATTCGTTTCTTTCTCAATTTCCAAGCATGAAACATCTCCAGAACTATTGACCTGAAATTAAAAACAATATAGGCCAGGCTAGACATTGTTCATTCATGCAGTAAATACAGATTAATTTTTAATGCCTCAATAAAGACTTAATATTAGGTTGGTAATGATATCAGACTTTTGCTTAGATTACAGACCTACAACAAAAGGCTCAACTACAGTAAAGGGCCCACCAGAGACCAACTTAAAAATGAGTCCATAATAGTTATAGGGGCACTATCATTACAAGATGCTTTCTTTTCGTTGGTCAGTTAATCCTGAGAAAGGATTCCTCTCAGCATCAATTTCTTTTGCATTAATATAATGGGGTGAAACATTAGCCTCCATATCCTAGGATAAAAATGGGAGTATGCAATATATGTATGCAGAACTATGGCACTTTTGTTAGTTTGCACAGCATGTATGGCCACCACTGTTGAATGAAAGACAGAGATACCATTGGTCTATGGATGAAGGTTTAAAAAATATACTTTTGTGACAAGTGACTTTTGCAGGTGGTGGTTATGAGACGTAGGAGTGCGTATCAATGATTTTCCTCATTTATCGCCAGGGATGATTCACCTTAATCAATGATTGGAACGATTTCAGCTGCAAAATGGATAGCAGTCAGCATGTTCTGGAGGCAAAACAGCTTGGGTGATTTCGTTCCGCGGTGTTCCTGAGCTTACTCGAACGCGCAGGGTGTAAGTTGCCTGAGGTGATGCCTAGCTATGCCGGTGTCGCAAGTATCTACCAAGTTGCTGCATCTGCAATCCATGCAGCAAGAGGTGGAAGTTGCAGCACAATGGAGAAGCGAATATTCCTTCACACAATTGGAACTCCGCTCCTTACAACTAATGCGAAAGGTGGTCGTTGGCTTCACTGTCAATGGGAACGGACCTTGCCCCTTCACATGGACGCCGCCATTACAAGAAAGTGCTATAGGCGTTTATTTCGCATTAGTTAGGGCCAGAATAGGGTTTCAAGAACCCGAAGGCAGGAAAGCCCAACTCACTTGAGATTGAGAAGCGAGGTGAAATTGAAATAATTGAAAACATTGAAATCTTGTGGTTAATGGCACACGAGGGGCATTCATAAAGTAATGATCAAAACTTTTCACTCACCTCATGAACTTCTACTGATAAAGCTACAATCTATGTATGGAATCAAAGGTTCTGCACTGCAATGGATACAATCCTTCCTAACTAACTGAAAACAGCAAGTCAGTTACCAATGCCATCTCTCTCCCGCCCTGGAAGTATTATCTGGAGTCCCCCAAGGTTCCATTCTTGGCCCTCTCTTGTTTCTTCTATTCATTAATGACTTGCCCCTCTCAGTCTCCTCCAGCCCTTACCTCTTTGCAGATGATGCTCTACT